AAAAAGAGTGATCGATCACTACTGGAATTTATTATTCTCGTTCAACTCGGTGACAATCTCTTCAATACTTGAGAGTGCTTTGTATTCAGAAGTGAGAATAAATCTCGAATAGGTGTCATTGAGATTCAGAAGTAGTTCCAAGTTTGCACTTTGAGCAAAGTCTGAAACTTGTTTCAATAATTCATCTGAGGATTGGCCATGATGATGAGCATTCAATTCTTTTCTCACTTTTTCAAACTTTTCTCTTGTTTGTGAAGAAAAATTAATCTCAAAACGAGAACTTGATGAAAAGTGACATTCGTTCCAATCTTCCAATTCTTCGATAATCTTTTGATAGAGATCACGGTCTGCATGTGTTTTCAGTAAATCTTTCAACTTTTCGACTTTGCTCCACATAATCACATTCTCTAACGAGAATTCTAATTTACAAAATTGTTCAAATACTTTTTTTGGCGCTTGGATTTTTCAAAAGCTTAGAAACATCATCCTGTTCATTCTGATCCATGTTCATAGTTGTTGAAGATGATGCGTCTCTTGTTGATACATTCTTGGAGTTCTTAATAAATGCACCAATAAATACCAATCCACCAAATGAAATGATAAATCCAGCTTCAAATAATGTTTGAAAAACCAAATTGAACGCCAATTGGAGAATTGTGTTCATATCATCGGAGGTAGTTATTTGTGAATAAGTGCTTGTGATTGAGCTTGTTGAGGAGTTTGATAGAACAGAAAAACCTAATGCATAAGCAACAATATAGAACACAATCGATGTGAAAAATATGACAGCCTCTAATCTAAAGAATAATCTGTCATTGGTAGAAAAGAAATGTTGCAATCTTCGTAGGAAAGATGAAGTTGAATAGAAATTCAAATTCACTTGAACACCTTTACACCAGTTTTAGGAAATGATTTTGTGATTCCTTGTACGAAATTTTCTAATTTGGATGTTTGTGAAGTTGCATTAGATAAGACATCCTTTCCAACATTTTGCATTTCACTCGATATTTGCTTATACTTGAATTCCATATAGATATCAAACAAATAAATTCCAATTAAACATATTGTCATGATCATAACAAACACAAAAATGACAGGCTCATAATCCATGAATATGTTGTTGATATAATGACACTTGTTCTTGTTAATGAGATGAAAATGACAAAATAAGCAATCACACACACACTCATGGCACAATTTGAAAGCATCATAAATCTCTTCCTGGAAATGAGTTTCAAAAATGGTGACACTTGTTGTAAAGATACTTGTCTCTCGTTAAACATAATTTCGTACATGTATCTGAATAGAATGTATCTAAGGTGATTCAGCACAAAATTCCAAATCGCCAACGAGACCAATGTAACTACAACCATGGCAGACACGTCTCTGATAATATTCACAGAATCATAACTAATGTTTGACGTTCCATTATTAATGCTAAGTGTAATCGAGTCTGAGACAATATTGGAAAAGGCATTTTCTATGAAGAGAGCAATCAGTGAAAGGTATGGGAAAATCCATCGACTCTTAATTGGTTGTTTGGTAAAAGATTTGATATTTGACATGATAAGCAATCCGACAAAGATTACTACAATGCAAATGATAAAGATGTATGAAATGATAATTTGAGCCATTAATTGTGGGTCTGATGAGAAGTTTGTACGCGTTGCTTGTGAAAACTCAATAAATGAAGTGAATTTGGTAGTATGATCACATTCACATGTAATTGAATCACTCGATTTCTGAAGTGTGACACATCCATTCGATTTCCATGCCTTCAGAGTTTCATTCCAATACATACATATAAAGTTATATTTGAGGTTGAAAGGTTTCGTAAATTGTTCAATTTGAGAAATCATGGAAGTGTTGACAGCTGGAAAGTTCATTCGGATAGGTTTTGACAAATTGGTGAGAGCAGTAATCAACCCATTCTGTAAATATTCCACAGATATAATTGGAGAAATGGAAACACGAACAAATGGGGTAGATGATGATGAATTATTGGTTGATAGGGTGGAATTGCTTGTGAAATTGTTCGAAAGAGATTGAATAGTATTCAACAAATCTTGCGAAGTATCTGCAATGATTGTTGTTGTGGTCGAGTTAAATTCAAATTGTACGGTTTGACTTGGTACGATCTTTGAGCTATATAAATACTTGACACTTCCTAATGATAATTTCTTTCCTGATTGAGCAGTTTTGGAAATTAATGAATCTGGCGTTGCAATGGTGATGCTTCCATTGAGTGCAAGAGGTTGGTTACTTGTTTGATTCGTCAAATCTGGTAATATCACTACCTCGAAAGCTTCATTTTTCAAAACATGTGGGTCTGTCGTGTTTGTCGTCAATGCTGTCACTGAAATCATATTTTCGATTACTGAGCTATACTTGTCATTGGTATATGATTGCAATGCCGTCATGCAATTTGATATAATATCCAACACATCTTGGACCGTATCAATATAACTACTTATGGAATCAACCTCAGAATTGGAAGATTGATTGGATGCATAATTCTTCGAAAGAGAAACCATAATTTTTGAATAATCGCTTATGAAATCAGTAATTCCTCCAACACTCATTTGTGTTAAATCCTTTTTAAATGAAGAAACAGACTTAAATGAGTTGACCAATGACTTGGTATCATGGAGCGATGAAGTATTTGGATTCATGGCACAGAGAGCCATCGTTAGTGAGTCCAATAATTTTTGTTTTTTGAAGTCAATGCATAAAGTAAGGAATTTGTCGATGCTTGTTCCAAATCAACCAATGACAATTTTCTCAAGTTATCAAAAGATGTAAATTCGTCATAGCTTTTGATGATCATTTTGTTCGTGGACCATGAATTGATATTTTGACCATTCAATTTCTTGGCTAACACTTGAGCCGAGTAATTTCCAGCCATGGTGAACACTGGTGGTAACACAATTTCAAACCTTGGAGGAGAAAAAATGTTGTCCCAAATTGCGGTCAGTGTGGAAGTTGATAATTGCGGTGTGATTGAAATATTAGAACCACCCACTTCTTGAAATATTTGGTAACTAAAGTTTGCTTGCAAGAGCGAAAGATAGTTTGATATCGTCACAGAGAGTTTTGGCTTTCCTGAAGTATCATTCACATAGGTCGTGGATGGAATGAATGAAATGGTTAGTGTGGGGTTATTTCTCATCGTTGTTGCCGTGATGACAATTCCATCAACAAACAACAATACCAACCACAAAGCGATCGCCAACACAAAGAGAGAACGTGTTAAGCGCTGATGATGACTCGGTTCCTCTCCTGCACCTACAGAGCGTCGGTGGTTGGTTGACATTCCTTGGTGGACGATGTCAAAGATATTTTTTGTGAGATGCGAACAAAGTTGGATGATTTTTGCGACTTCTAACAGATCAATGGTCGCGGACAGAAGGAAAAAGAAGGCCTCAATATCCTTCTCCATGAAAATGAAAATTTTCTTTCAGATAATAAGAACAAATAGTTGTTTCATCAATAGTTTGAGTTATATGGTTTGTCCAAACATTATTTCACACTTAGGTTGCATGTAAGTTTTATTCGTTTACAAGAACCATTACTAGAGCCATCATGATTAATGCTAAAGTTGTTGCAACAGAATAGATACTACCAAATTGTAACGATCCGTAACTTGCTGCTGTACTTCTCGATAGCTTTGGTGAACCATATGAACTTCCATCTCTGGTAATCTTATTTGAGAATTCAATAGGCCTTTCATAAGCATTGACCAGAGCTTTCTTTGAATCTACAACCTTAATAAATGTTTGAAATTCACCAATTTGCGCACTGTTCTTTGCCTGGAATGAAAATCTCAAAACCTGTCCTGATTTGATATATTCCTTTGCCAGAATCGTCATTGTGAACTCTTGATTTGAGACAGTTACAATACTAGCGGTGGTATCCAAAGCTGTCGTTCCATCCAGCAAAGTTATAGGAATCATCGTATTATTCACAAAAGATTGTGGCACACTCAATCCACTAAATCTAAAAACAAATCTCTCTCCATAGAAATGTCTTACTGGAGCCCATGTCACAATTTTCACAACATAATTCGAGATTGTTGAGAATTTGTTATTTTCAATAATTGAGAGAAGGCACATGGAGAATCCGGAAATCTCGCAACGCTACAATGAATGATAAAATCATTGGGCATCCATTTCGCCGGAATCATTGACATGTTTGTTCTTGCACTCGATGAGATTGGAAATCCCCATGCATCACAAAATTGTGAAAGATCTCTTTGAACAATATTTGCCAATCTCACAACCCATTGATCTCTCTTTTCATCGTCATTACGAGGTAATGCTCCAAAACCTTTCTGTTCTGAATTGTAATAACTTGCAAATGTTTTCTAATGGCAACCCATCCAAATGCTTGAATTTGATCGAGATAGAACAGAACACCTGCCGAGGTCCAATCTCCTTTAAATGTCTGATTATTGTTTTTGTATTCTTTTTCTAAACCACGAGGAGGATTATAAGCACGTGCATAGGTGAAGGAATTTTCTGGAAAATTTTCTTCCAAATAGAGAGAGTAAATGTTGTTGGTGAGCTCACCGGATTGATCATAGGTCCATTCTCCTCGTTGGAACTTTGTGTTTCAATATCTCGAGATGTCATGAAAAAATATTGCCAAACCATTAATATACTTACGTTGTGACCTAATTCATGGTAATGTCCCCAACGAGAGACTGCATTTGGTCGTAATCCTTGCTCTGCTGTATTGCTTGGTGTCACCAAAGCTTCATTTTTGATCTAAAAACGTCATGATAGGATAACCACTGTGCATATATCCAGCAGAGATTTGAATATCTGTTTGAAACCTCTCTTTATAATCCCTCACACCTTCCTGTGATAGCTCATAATACATTGGTAGTACTTTTCCCCAGTAATCTGACACTGCCTTAATATCTGTTATATTTCTCGCAAAGGGGTGGATTGAACATTAATAGATACATGTTCAGTTTCAACCTCAATCCATGGTCCTGGTTCATTTCGAATGGTATTAATCCAATCTGCATTAGTATGTTTGTCAAAACGCCAGAACGGAGTTTTCACAATTTGTCCACTAATGGTCACACTCAAATCGGTTACTGGAATTGTTTTCAAAGAAACGAATATAGTACCTCCATTAAATGCAATAAACCATGATGTGGAATTTCCTGAAGAGATGTAGTATTGTGAGGAGATTGAAGGCCATCTATTCCATTCATCTAAATTTTCCAAATTGTCTGTATGTGATCCAATGAGAATATATTCGACAGAGTTTGGTGAACTCACAGTGATTGTTATATTGGCTCCTGGAAGAGCATAATAACCTGTACATTGCCAACGTCTTCGTGTGGATGAAATTTGAATGGTGACAGTTGTGGATTTTGTGTTTCGAGAATTCACATTGCCTTGAGGAAGACCAGGAAAGATCTCTCCAGCTTGTATTTCAGGATTGTTTGAGAGTGGTAAAGTATTGATAGAGTTCAAAACTTTGGCAAGAAAAGACACAAAACTTTTTGTCTATGGTGGAAATAGGATATGTGACGAGTGACAATCCGGTACATTTTGCATTATATACAGCCAAAGTTTTCGAAAACGTTTCAACATTCTGCTCGGCCATTACAACCGGTGGTATCAATGTAAATCTAATTCTGTCTAAAGTTGTCGCTATTTGTTTCACTTCACTGAAAGAGGATGGAATTGTGTTTGATTGCAAAATTGCATCCAATTTGAAATACGGATTGTATTGAACCACAGAGTTAGCATTCACATATGGTGAAGATGCATAATTATTGCTAAACGAAATTCCTGTTTTGGTAAAGAAAGACATTTCCTGGAAAGTTATATAGAGGGAGAAAGAGAAGAAATGAGCCCATGAAGTAACACCCACAATGATGCCTCCACCTCTTTTGAGATAATTGTCCATCATTTGAAACATTTCACTTGAGACTTGTCCAACATTATTCAAATTGAGAATTAACAAATCAACTACCTCCAATGGACGAATATTACTGTCGAATGCATTGGTAGTATTCTTGAACAAGGAAAATCCAGGGAGTGTTCCGTACAAATTTGATGCATCATTTGAGTTGACACCATGAACCATAAACAAGACATTACTACTCTTATAATGAGTCACCCATTGAGCACAGTTCAACAATAAATTACCCAAATCTGTTCCTTTCGTTCCCACTATGAAACCGTTATGAGAAAATGCGCAAATTCTACCACTATTATTTTCTGAAGTCAAGTAAGTTGAAGCCACTACGATGGGAACTGAATCTGAACCGACAATCAAAAGGGACACTGTACGGACCGTGTGAAAGGATGGTACCTGGTACACCACTCAGTTGCACACCTTGTACGTTGTTCAATAGTGAGAGACGGATGATATCGAGTTGAGAAGAAGTGGCTCCTTCAACCATTGAATTGTCTTTTGCTGGTTGCATGACCAACAACAACAACAACAACACATGAATAGTCATTATCATTGCCCTTTGGATCCTGGAACATGTACGACGGATGGTCATTTTCGATTATCTCTTGATTGTTTTTTTTTGAATGAATTGGATTGGATTTGACAGGTTCAGTATTTTTAAAACCGCTGTGGTCTCATAGAATCAAATCGCACGACTAACCAATTTCGTTGATTACTGATTTGCAAGGAGTTTGTATAGTTTAGTGATGGAAAGTGTTGGCTTTAACTTTTGGTATCAAGTGAAAACATAGAAATTTCGGTCGATTTCAATCCATTGAAATTTCTTGTTGTTGGACTGTTGGAGTATATCTCCATCGCAAATCTCATGAGAGTATACAAAAGGATGAAAATGGTAATGTCATTCCATGTCTTTTCATGAAGCATCCATCATGAATTGCAAAGAAAAAAGAATGTGGGCTTCATATACAGAGAATTTATGACCCATCACACTACTATTTCTCATGCAATTCATGATGGATGCTTCAAGAAAACGAAAAATTACAAGCTGAAATAGAAATGTCACACAATTTAGAAATTGAGGCCTATTCTCAAGCTTGACGTCTAAGATTGGATTCTCAGGTCAACTTATCCCACGATATAGCAATAGGTCTCTTTATTCTCACGACGAAGAATCATCTATAGAGAGTAGTCCAAACGTTTCCTCGAGCGCTTTTGAATTTGGTTTTCAAAACTCTCCTAGAACTCCAAAAGCTAAGCGTAATGTCACATCAACAGCCAGTTTACCAGCAACATCCGAGGAAGTGAGAATTGAGGAGTTTTAAGCCTACTTTCAAAGAGAATTAGTTTTGTGACAATATGTTTCTGTCCCTCAACAATGTTCCTATTTTACCGATTTGTTGAACAGTTCTGAGTAAAATGTTTTCACTCTCTGCAACATCTCTGCATGCTTTTGGATTTGCTCTTCTTTCAAGTATGGTGGCTCTAACAAATAGGACAAAACACTTGGCTCCTTCCCCAGCAACACAGAAATACATTCTTTTACACATGACGCTGTTTCTTCAATGTTGTAACCACCTTCCAAGGCACAAACAACCTTCCCTTTTGCTAGCTCCATCAGCAATGCTGTGAGATGGCCGTACACTTGAGGGGAACACAATTGGCCTCCAAGCTTATCACCTTTCACAGCATCAAACCAATATTGGTTGCATTATTTCCTTCGATAGAATCTGATACATTCGTTGGTTCTGGCTCGATTTGGTTGCAGAGAGTGAGCTGATTCCGTTCGGAGCTTTTTAAAAGATGAAGGAATTCTATGAGGCTTGATTTCAATAAGAGGAAATTTGGCCTCAATCACTTGTTGGTTGTCTTGTTGAGAGAAAGATCCCGAACAAAGAGATGAAGGTAAAGGCTTGACGTATCGAACCGTAATGTAAGGAGCAGGTGAGGTGGTCTCTGAAGATAAAGACATTTTTTTAAAAACTGTACACCTTTGGGTTTGGGTTTGGGTTTGGGTTTGGGTTTGGGTTTGGGTTTGGGTTTGGGTTTGGGTTTGGGTTTGGGTTTGGGTTTGGGTTTGGGTTTGGGTTTGGGTTTGGGTTTGGGTTTGGGTTTGGGTTTGGGTTTGGGTTTGGGTTTGGGTTTGGGTTTGGGTTTGGGTTTGGGTTTGGGTTTGGGTTTGGGTTTGGGTTTGGGTTTGGGTTTGGGTTTGGGTTTGGGTTTGGGTTTGGGTTTGGGTTTGGGTTTGGGTTTGGGTTTGGGTTTGGGTTTGGGTTTGGGTTTGGGTTTGGGTTTGGGTTTGGGTTTGGGTTTGGGTTTGGGTTTGGGTTTGGGTTTGGGTTTGGGTTTGGGTTTGGGTTTGGGTTTGGGTTTGGGTTTGGGTTTGGGTTTGGGTTTGGGTTTGGGTTTGGGTTTGGGTTTGGGTTTGGGTTTGGGTTTGGGTTTGGGTTTGGGTTTGGGTTTGGGTTTGGGTTTGGGTTTGGGTTTGGGTTTGGGTTTGGGTTTGGGTTTGGGTTTGGGTTTGGGTTTGGGTTTGGGTTTGGGTTTGGGTTTGGGTTTGGGTTTGGGTTTGGGTTTGGGTTTGGGTTTGGGTTTGGGTTTGGGTTTGGGTTTGGGTTTGGGTTTGGGTTTGGGTTTGGGTTTGGGTTTGGGTTTGGGTTTGGGTTTGGGTTTGGGTTTGGGTTTGGGTTTGGGTTTGGGTTTGGGTTTGGGTTTGGGTTTGGGTTTGGGTTTGGGTTTGGGTTTGGGTTTGGGTTTGGGTTTGGGTTTGGGTTTGGGTTTGGGTTTGGGTTTGGGTTTGGGTTTGGGTTTGGGTTTGGGTTTGGGTTTGGGTTTGGGTTTGGGTTTGGGTTTGGGTTTGGGTTTGGGTTTGGGTTTGGGTTTGGGTTTGGGTTTGGGTTTGGGTTTGGGTTTGGGTTTGGGTTTGGGTTTGGGTTTGGGTTTGGGTTTGGGTTTGGGTTTGGGTTTGGGTTTGGGTTTGGGTTTGGGTTTGGGTTTGGGTTTGGGTTTGGGTTTGGGTTTGGGTTTGGGTTTGGGTTTGGGTTTGGGTTTGGGTTTGGGTTTGGGTTTGGGTTTGGGTTTGGGTTTGGGTTTGGGTTTGGGTTTGGGTTTGGGTTTGGGTTTGGGTTTGGGTTTGGGTTTGGGTTTGGGTTTGGGTTTGGGTTTGGGTTTGGGTTTGGGTTTGGGTTTGGGTTTGGGTTTGGGTTTGGGTTTGGGTTTGGGTTTGGGTTTGGGTTTGGGTTTGGGTTTGGGTTTGGGTTTGGGTTTGGGTTTGGGTTTGGGTTTGGGTTTGGGTTTGGGTTTGGGTTTGGGTTTGGGTTTGGGTTTGGGTTTGGGTTTGGGTTTGGGTTTGGGTTTGGGTTTGGGTTTGGGTTTGGGTTTGGGTTTGGGTTTGGGTTTGGGTTTGGGTTTGGGTTTGGGTTTGGGTTTGGGTTTGGGTTTGGGTTTGGGTTTGGGTTTGGGTTTGGGTTTGGGTTTGGGTTTGGGTTTGGGTTTGGGTTTGGGTTTGGGTTTGGGTTTGGGTTTGGGTTTGGGTTTGGGTTTGGGTTTGGGTTTGGGTTTGGGTTTGGGTTTGGGTTTGGGTTTGGGTTTGGGTTTGGGTTTGGGTTTGGGTTTGGGTTTGGGTTTGGGTTTTGGGTTTGGGTTTGGGTTTGGGTTTGGGTTTGGGTTTGGGTTTGGGTTTGGGTTTTGGGTTTTGGGTTTGGGTTTGGGTTTGGGTTTGGGGTTGGGTTTTTGGGTTTGGGTTTGGGTTTGGGTTTGGGTTTGGGTTTGGGTTTGGGTTTGGGTTTGGGTTTGGGTTGGGTTTGGGTTTTGGGTTTCGGGTTTGGGTTTGGGTTTGGGTTTGGGTTTGGGTTTGGGTTTGGGTTTGGGTTTGGGTTTGGGTTTGGGTTTGGGTTTGGGTTTGGGTTTGGGTTTGGGTTTGGGTTTGGGTTTGGGTTTGGGTTTGGGTTTGGGTTTGGGGTTGGGTTTGGGTTTGGGTTTGGGTTTGGGTTGGGTTTGGGTTTGGGTTTGGGTTTGGGTTTGGGTTTGGGTTTGGGTTTGGGTTTGGGTTTGGGTTTGGGTTTGGGTTTGGGTTTTGGGTTTGG